AAAAATGCATTGCGTTGGACAGTTTGTTATACAATGATAAACATCACCAACAGTTTCAGCTGATTAGGATGGGAAACACTAAAAAAATCACAGTCAAGCTGGTTAGGGTCCACTAAGACCACACGCTACGGGACGGAGCCAGACGGGACCAGATGGAGCTGAACAGGGCCGAACGAATTTGGACGCGATCGATCGGGACCAAATAGAGCCGGATGGAACGTAATGAGACCAGACGAGACCGGATGGCTCCGCACGAACCGGACGGACTGAATGGAACTAAACGGGCCTGGAAATGATCAGACCAAGCCGAGTGGGATCATACCACATCGGACACCCCGTGACGGCTAGAAACCGGACAAGACTAAACGGGACTGGACGGCGCAGGATAAAGCATCTTGAGCCCAGACGGCTCCGGGAGCGGACCGGTCCGGACAGGACGGGGCGGCACGCGCTGGGGGGTGGGGGATGCCACATGGAACTCGACGCGATGGGGCAGGACCGGACGGAACTGGACGGAACGTGAAGGGGAATACAATGGACTGAACAGGACTGGACGGAACCTTATAGTACCAAATCAAACCAGACGGGCTCGGGCAGGACCCGACGATACTGGACGGGACCGGATTGAACCAGACGAAACCAGATGGAACGATCTGAGAACATACGGGCGAGAGAGGAGCCAGACAGTCCCGATGTGGCCCCGCTCTGGTCCCGGCAGGTCGTGCTCTGGTCCCGCCTGGCCCCGTCTAGTCCCGTCTAGCCCCGTCTGGCTGCGTCTGACCCCGTGCTGTCCCGTCTCGTTCTTATTGGTCACGTCCCTTTCCGTTTGATCCCGTCCCATCACTCCAAGTCCCGTCTGACTCCATCGGGCTCCGTCCAGTCTAGCCTGGTCCCAGGTCTCATCCGGCTCCATCCGATTCCATCAGGTCTCGTCCATGTCCCCTCAGTGCCGTCCAGTTCCGTCTAGTCCCGGTCATAATCATAGTCACCAATGAAAATTTTTTCACGCGGTGGTTATCACGACTTCAGCCCAAGTGCTAACACAACGCTGCAAAGCAGAAGATAAAGCACCATAAAATAAAGCAGCAAAAGCAAACGCAAAACAAAGGTGCCACGTTAAACGCTCCCCATGAACCCACATGCCACAACAAAACCCCAAGCGCAGCGCAACATCACGCGCCACGGTCCCCAGGGGCCGGTTCCACAGACCTGGCATTCCAAGGTGATGCGGCTTCGCATGCAAACTCTCGCTGACTTTGACTAGTGAACGCCGTGGGAGCCGCAGCATCCCGGCCACAGCGGGCGTCACGTGACGACACATGGGCGCGACGAACAAGCATGTTCGATGTTGCTGGGGGACACTGGCTCCGCAAAAAGGCTTTCTGCAATTGCGACAGTCGTGGCGGCGCTCCATCTAAAACAGACGAAGCCAATGTTTAGTTACACCTGATCCATCCGGTTACGCCTGGTCTCTATGACCGGGTGCATTCCATTCAGGTCCATGCCAGGTCCATCCTGTCCCGCCTGATCTCGTTCTGTAGCGAACAACTTTTTTCGGCCACGTCCGGTACCATCCAATTCTATCTGATCATGTTTAGCCCGTTCAGTCCGTCTGGTAATCTAAAAAAAATATAAGAAAATATGAGGAAAACATGGTCTGAACACAGGGCCCCCTATTGGTGAAAGGGCACCGATCAACGAGAAACGCGGGCTCCGGCCTCGTCCTTGTTTCGGAAATGACCTCCAGGGCTCAGACCGACCGGGAGCCGAATGTTGCGCTTTGGTGGCCTCTGGTCCAAGTAGATGGCGAGAAATATAGGGTCCTCTGATTGACCTTTCAGGTTACGACCGTACGGAAGGGAGTCCTTACTATGATCCGCAGCCATGTATTCAGAATCAGACCACTGATCTTTGGCCTCGAGGGGCCTTCGAATCTCTCTTTGGCCTCCCCCTCCCCCTCCCCCCTGTTCAGGCAGCCTCGAACACGATCCCTGACCGGCTCAGGGCCACCTGCCGACACAAGGCGCCATGTTAGTCAATGTGGGTCCCCGATTGACAAGAGACCCCTCCTTGTTTCAGGGACCTCGACGAAGGGAACTCGCGGGTCCGGCCCTATTCCTGCTCGGGAAATGGGCGCGAAGGGATTTAGACCGATATGGACCAAACTGCCCGGTGTTGGTAGTCTCTGGCCGGAATGGGGACTCGCGTTGTCCCAGGGGTTTCTCAATAAATGTAAGCAACGTTCATATTGACATTTGAGGTCACGGCCCCGCTGAGCTGAAGATCCTTGATGTGACCCTTCAAGCCCTTTAGCGCGTGCTTAATGGGGTCCTTGTTCATTGATCCCGAAGGGTCCATCGGGCCGCTCTTCAAGCCCATCCAATACTGTTCCTGGCCGACTCGGAGCCCCATGCCAACACAGGACCCCGTTAGGCAACGCGAGTCCTTGGTCGACACAAAGGCCTTCCTTCCATCGACCCATATCCCCAACTACTGTAAATCACAGGCCCCAGCCTTGCCCCTGCTTAGGAAATGGGCCACAAGACCCAGACCGACACAGAGCTCACTCGTCAGTACTGGTGGTGCCGAAGTAACCTCATCGACTCCAATCGGCGGAAAGGGCGCTGTGACTGGCATGTGAGGGCCTTGCCTATTGGAACAGCGAGTTCTTCAAGCCCTTTGGAACCTCAAATCGGGTACTTCATCGTCGGTCTTGAGATCCGCGGACCTTTCGCAGGGGATCGCGCCTGAGATATTGAAAGATATCCGTGTGATCATATATCGGCGAGTGAGAGCCTTGAATGGGAAGGGGGAGGCGCTCTTAGCCCGCCTGCGCCATTTGGTGCCAGTTGTAGACAGGGTATTATTCGAACCCTGTCCTTAACGTTTTCAACTTCCTTCTCTTTCACTGCACCGCTGTAGATGCAACATTTATTCGAGGCACGTGCGACGCCGTGAAATAGTGGTTCTGGCTATGTTGCCTGGTTAATCCAGCATTTGACGCCCAGAACCGGCGAAGCGTGACTAGATTTTGGATGTCCTTGAGCTCAGCTCCGATAATTTGACTCCAAATAGGGACCTCCGATGACGTCACAATAATAGCGGTCCAACTTCAACACGATCGCTGGCAAGATGGTCTGGGGGCTGAATCTTACCACCTTTCACCTCACCAGAACGGTTTCTGGTCCATACGATGCACCGCGAATAGCCCCGTTCAACTTATAGACGGAATGCAGTTTTTTTAAAAGATACTTGCCATCAAATTTTGTTTTTTCTAGGCTTGGAAACGGTCTTTGGCATGGCACAAAAATCGCGTATCTTAATTAAGCTGCATCAAATCGGTATTCGAGGTCATTTTGCCAATCTCATAGGAAATGCTTACGAATCACACATAGTGCCTTACGGTAAAGGCTATTCATAGTGGGACGCCTTACACCACGGTATGCCACAGGGCAGCGTGATAATACCAACATTTTGTCTTGCAGCGATCAATGATGCATTTGAACATATTCGTAAACTAGCTTTCAGTATCAAAAGTTTGTTGCACGCCGATGATCTGGTGATGTGGTACTCGCACCCTGGCGCCGATTGTGCGGCCGTGATTAAAACGTGCATCAAGCGCATCAAAGCGTGTTGCGGTCAGCGGAGTATGACGACATTCCCCACCAATCAGCTGCAGTAATATTTTTCCACCATCGGCGCCACTCAGATCTTGTAGGCTGTAGCTTCTTTAAATGATAGTGGCGAAATAATCCCTGAGATCCGTAGTCCCAGAATGTATATGCCTCGGCGTGCCTCCTGGCCGCCGCCTCAAATTTAATCCTCCCTTTAACGACATTCGCCATTGACGCATTCGTCTCAGTCAAACATAATCACTGGGTGGGGTGCATACTGGTGACCTCTGCTTCGCCTATGCAATACCCTGATCCGCCCAGTCTTGGAACATAATGCGCTTTTATGACGTCTCTCCAAAAAAGCACCCACCCTCGAGATTATCCAGAAAAATGACCTCAGGATCACCACGGGCCCTACGTAACCTCCCTATACAAGGTCTTATCGCTTAAACAAGCATCCTGAGGTCGCCCGTCGCCGCAAGCATCAATTACTTAGGTATAGTTAGCGCTAAGTACCTATCACATCGATCCTTCGCCAGCCACATTCGCCGATGTAGCACCACACATATGTCTTTCGCCATCTCAGGAGTGATAATCCATGAAATCTCTGCAGAGACAATGTGTTCGAAGTCACGTCTTGAAGTTGGCTCTTTACTCTGATTTATTCAGCGGCGAGTGCCGATTTCCCTAAAAGAACATCATATGGTCGATTGTAACCCCATGAAATCAAAAATGACGTTTATTTTGCAGTTTCATGTGACCTCCAAGGTACAAATACAGGTCAAACGACGGAAAATGTCATATCAACACAACAGTAACCCGCTGATTTCAAATTTTGAGGCGTCATAATATTCACCACAAAAGGATCAAACGTCCGAGAAAAAACTTGTGATCTCTCGAGGTAACTTTTCAAGATCAAATTCATACCTAAAGGACGCAAATTATCAAAAATTCAAGTCGATTTAACCTTTTCAAACATGAGAACATTCACCGACGCATGAACTAGCGTCCTGACCCTGATGGCTCAGGGCATATTGGCGGGCGCTACTTCATGGGCTGGTGAATATTTGGTACTTGAAAAGTTGAAATCTACCGATAATTTTTTTAAGCCGATAGGGAGTCCTGGTCATTTGGGCTTTTGTTCTACCTATAAGGTTAAGTTGGAGAGGTCATGACTTTTTGAAGGATGCTAGTTTTTTTCTGCGGCGAAAATTATGGTGCTTGTAAGTTTAAAATCCGCTGGTGGTTTTTTTATATTTAGAGCCTCTTGCCCTTTAGACCCAAATTTGACCCTGTAGGTGACCTTAAGAAGTCAGCATTTTTCGACGAATTTTAATTATTACGTTTTCCGTATTTTAATGCTTTTAAGCTGTTATCGGTCGGTAATTTTCTGATGATGCTAAAAGTTGCAATCGACCGGTAACGTTTTGGTGATATAGGAGTTTTCTGTGATTCGAGCCTTAGTTGAGGTCAGGCCTTTTTAGACAGACGCTGGTGCATGCGCTGATAAATATCGTAATTCTTGAAAGCGCACCAAAACCCAACACAACACGCCACATTCACTCATTGCCGATATCTGGAGCGTCCAATGGCCGCTGCCGCTGTCCATGTTCGACGAGTTCAACGGAAACATGTGTACTTCCGCTACACGCTTCAGTATTCTGCTGGGTGAAAACATCAGGTCGTGCCGGTGTAGAGCTGCGGCCTCGTGGCAGCTGCGCACGGGCAGGACAAACCCTGTCCGCCATCGCCGGGTGAGACTTCGTACTCGGTGCACGACATATCCCCCACACGTGAGCTCTGCCCGCGCCGGGTCGCAGTTGTGTCCGAGCGGACAGGACAGGACCCGTCAGCGTGGACACTGCCTACTTGGGGTCCGGTCGTCCACCGCGTGTGTCAGTGACCGCATGAAGGCAACCAGGATGGTGCTCAAATCCATGTGGAACTCCCCCAGGTTTGCTAACCACTGCAGAGACGGATGACCCGGGCGGAAAATTAACTCCTTAAACAAACGCTTCCGCTTCGTCAACGGCCGATCTCTGCACGGCAACGGCGTGCCCAACTGCAACCTGACGGCACTGACTTATCAATGGACGCTCTCGATTCAGGCGAACTTCTTCAAGACGACAGCGAAGTTATCATGTATTTCGTACGTACATGTGCCCAACACTCGCTCTGTATCACCTTGCGTAAAAAGACGCAATCTTTCGTTCGCGCTCCCCCCCCCCCCCCCCCCACGCGCTGATAGTGTTATATTGTTCGCAGGTGCGGTTCACAGTATTTTAACTCAACTCACGCTCTCGTTTCGCCCATTACGACCACGAGCGACCGACATAAAGCATATCACGCCGCACCCCCGTATGTACATTTCTCGTAACCGCCCACTCTCGCCACGCCCCAAGTGCCGGGCCCATCCACAACGATATGCAGTTTAAAACTACAGTGTTTCATTCAGTGAGCCTGCACGCGACAGCAGGAGCCGCCGACACTCCCGTGCTGGAGGACCGGCCGACACACGCGGTCGGGAACGGACAGCGTCCTTCTTCCGGTGAGGAGCGCAGACGAGGCAAGGTTCTCTGTCTACCGCAGAACCGCTCAGTGCTGCTATCTGGGCTCCCAGATCGCGAGAGTCGCGCTCGTGCCGCATGCATCCCAGTTGGCCCGCATCCGCTGCGTCTCCTCCCCAGCTCGCAGTGCGGGAGCGTCTCAGCGGCGGGCGGCTATCCGGAGCCCGGCGGCCGCATCTCACGGCGCAGCCACCGCCTGGCAGCCGACTGCTCAGCCGCGCCGCAGGCGCGTTCACCGCCAGTGGCAGCGTTCGTCACTGCACTCCACTACCGGCACGGACCGGAGCAGGCCGACCTCCAGTGAAGCCCGCTGCCGCGGTCCAGCTCGGCACGCGCCGGCCCCGGCGCCAGGTGTCACGCCCGGTCGCCAGGTATCGCTTCGGGTCGCCGGACGCCGTGCAGGGTGCGGTCAGTTCTTCAGCGGGTCCAGGTCGTCCAGTGAGAAGTCGTCGTTGCCGATGGCCAGCCCCCGGCTGAAGCCAGCCTGAAAACGAAAAAATATAAAATATATAAATATATAAAAATATATAAAAAACATATGGCCTGTCGCGGTGCCATATGAACCACGACACCTTCTAAACATGCAAATGATTTATGCGTTTCACCCTTCCGTTTCGTACAATGATATGCGAACTAACTGACGTTACTCCCTTCAAGTTAATGCTGCTAAACACCCAGGCCCAGCTCGTCCCTCACTTGCACCCCGCGCAGCCCTCCCCTGAGTCACTTTCGTCCCTCACCCGAGCCAAGCTCTCCCCCACGCCAGCCATGGTCATGCCTCCCCGGTGCCTAGCTGCTCCCTCACCTCCATCTCGCTGATCCGCTTGTCCAGGATGCCGATGGCGTTCTCGATTTCACCCGGCGAGCCCTGGAAGCTGCCCATGCCGAACGGGTCGTCCCGGACGGGCGGCGGCAGCGGCGGCGGCGGACCGGTCGGAGCCGGCGGCGAGAACGGCTCCGCCCCGAACAAGTCCTTGGTCTCCGACGCCGGCGTGGGCCGCGGCGGCGGCGCTGAAACGTAACAGTACCGTGGCAGCGAGCATTCGGTCTGGCTGGGCTCCCATGCGGCTCAGCCCAGCTACCACTGCTGAGCTCACTCCACTGGCATGGCTTCAGTTTCAAGCTCTGGGTACGCTGTCACGAAACATCAACTGGCTAAATCGCAAAACGACGGTTCGGATAAAACAACAATGCGCGGCGCATACCATCGCACAAGCACACAGGTAACTAGTAAATCACAAGCTCTAAACCGTACTAACTCAGTGACGAACGTTAACCGAGGCGTTGGCATCAAGAGCACCGTAGTCGCGATGTGTCTCCGTTACCACTGGCGTGCCGCGTGGTAGGTGCCGGGTATTCTGGAACTCACAGATAGCAGGCGGCGGCGGCGAGTGGCCGTTTTGTCCTCCGTTGGTCGGCTCCACCAGGTCCTCAAATAGTAGACCCTCCAGCTTGGTACCCACCGCTGGGGCGTTGTCATTGTCGTCAAAGTCCCTGAAAGGAAACGAAGCCTGGGGTCAGGCTCGGAAGGTCACTGCAAGGCTCGAAAGGCTCAAAAGTCGTAAAAAACTCGGAAGGCAACTGAAATGCCGGGAAGGTCACTGGAAGGCTCGAAAGGTCAGAAAAAGGCTTGGAAGACCCAGAAGGTCAGTGAAAAGCTCGGAAGACAAGGGGGCCCCGGGTAGGTTTGGAAGGTTGCTGAAAGGCTCGGAAGGCTCGGAAGGTCGCTGAAAGACCCGGAAGACTGGGAAGGTCACAGGCAGGCTCGAAAGGTCACTGGAAGGTTTGATGTCACTGGGAGGCTCGGAACCCTGGTACTGTTACTGACCATACCACGTCACGCGCCGGGATCGTCTTTTCCCAGCTGAGCCCACATGGTCGGCTGCCGGATCTCACCCGATCAGGTCGGTGGTCTCGGTGTTCCTGGGCGGCACTGGCGGCGGGGCTGGGGAGCCGCTGCCGCTGCTGTTGCCGCTGCTGCTGCTGCTGCTGCTGTCTGTGCCGTTGGTCAGCGACTTGTGGTCGCCGTTCTGCGTCGCGGTAGGCGGCGAGACGTCCAGCAGGCTCAGGATCTGGGAAGGCCGAGGATTGTCAATTTTCCTCAGGCCCAACCATGCCTGGCGTGCCGAGACCTAGAACAAAACACGGGGCGGACCGCAGCTGGGCCGACTGACCAAGACCACCGCAAAACAACAGCACTATACCAAACTTCCAGAGCTGTTCATGCGTGGGTGTCGGTAGAATGCATCTTCTAAGAACGATAGCAGCAGGTGATTCTTGTATTCAACAATGTGGGTGCACGTTGCATCACACGTGTGTGTTCGAGAACGCATGGCGTTGTGTTTAACTGTTTTTGTTAATGCTTCTCAATACACATCCGCATTTCATTTGGCTGTCCGTACGTTCCCGACGACATATGGACATTATGGTGCACCGAGGATGCATGGACTGAGAGCTTAACTACTGCAGATCAAGACTGGGCGAGCTGCATATTGCAAGTCACAACTCTTCGCCATGGCTGATTCGGGGCGCTCTTCCTCCGATGCCAAGACCAGCGCTAGAGTCCGGGAGCACCCGATCCCCTTGTCTTAATATGTCAAGTTAATGCCCTCTCTGCGCAGAGTTGTGGGAAGTTCGGTGCAAGGCTGAAACCTGACGAAACATTGCACCAGGAAGATGTCACGCTCGTGCAGGGATTGGCATCAAGCGATGCGGGGACAGATGGACTGGACGAAGGGTTAGTGGTCATCCCCTCTGGGCTGCACCTCATTTGTCTTCACTACTGCTTCACCTCACCAAGCCGGCCCAAGTTTTCTACAGTTTTTGACATCTTAACTCTCAAAGACCGGACGCCAGACCTGCATTTGCAGAGCCATACCATTTTTCCTGCCCGCAAGCGGCCAGTTTTCCTCTGCCCCTCCCTCAGCTGCAGGTCGGTCCGGCCGTGAGACCCCTGCCGGGCGGCGCAGTCAGCAGCCAGTGCGCTGATCTCGGCACAGACACCGGCGGCCGCCTCCTGCCACTCTCTTAATCCAACCGGTTCCACCGCCACCTCCCGCCCCAGCCGCGTCTTGCCGCGGCCAAGGTCTGTTTACATCGCGCCCAGCGCCGCCTGCCGCTGGCAGCTGTGACGTGACGGCGGCGATCACGTGCGGGCATCGTGAGCCGCTCTGCGGCTGCGCGCGTGACGTCAGGAGGAGATTGGTGGCCGCTGGCAGGCGCTAGGAAGGCTATAGGGGATTAGCGGTAGACGGGTCTGAGGAGGAGACCACCACGGGCACTGGTTGTGGCGAAGGGCGTTCAAGAAACGGAACGGCAGGACGGAATGCACTGAAGGGGCAGAAACCAACGGTCGGGGACGTGACCTTCCATAGACACTGAGGTGACAAAAAGACTAGTGGCGAGAACTGAGCCCATAGAAAACTAATGTTCCAGCACCAACACATCTATCAAGATTCCACTCTACAGGCGTCCAACCCAGCCCTCGGACAGCGACAGCGTCAGGCTCGGACAGCTGGCATACGTTCCGCTGGCATTCCTCCATACCTCCAGCCCTGCGTTGGCCCATCCTCCCGCCGGTCCCACCAGCCCTGCGTCGGCCCATCCTTCCGCCGGTCGCTCCAGCCCTGCGTCGGCCTGTCCCTGCCGCCGGTCCCACCAGCCCCGAGTCGGCCCACCCTCCCGCCGGTCCCTCCAGTCCTAAGTAGACCCATTCTTCCCGCCGGTTCCTCCAGCCCCGAGTCGGTCCATCCTCCCGCCAGTCCCATCAGCCCTGCGTCGGCCCATCCTTCCCGCAGGCCCCTCCAGCCCTGCGTCGGCCCATCTTTCTCGCCGGTCCAACCAGCCCTGCGTCGGCCCGTCCTCCCGCCGGTTCCACCATTCCTGAGTCGGCACATCCCTCCCGCAGGTCCCACCAGCCGGTTCAGCCCTTTCCTCTCGCCGTCCACGATCTACGTGGCGTTCTACATCGTATCTACATCACAACTTTTCCTTTGCCCAAACATTTCACCCGCATCTTCATCTAAAACGCTTGGCGTGGTGGAAGCACGCCTGTTTCTGGTGCTAGCATTTCATTTCAGGTTGGATTCGAAGTATTAGGCGGTAAAGTTTCCTCAATTACTTGACCCGCAAAGCAGGTTTCCAACTCTTTTCTTTTTTCTCAACACTTTTCTTACAGGAAACAACACTGATTATTGCAATCACTGCTGGATTTTCCTTTGTTGATGCATGTACGCCTGGTAGCATGGACTGCCCTCCTCTCCCATTCCCCCTCCCCCTCCCCCCAGGACAAAATACCACCTTAGCATGAGCGGCTCCCGCAATCATCAAGAAACAAAGATATTCTGGCCATGATTGTTTCCAATTTTTATCTTTTCCAAAAGAGAAACTGCAGTCCAAGGAAGCCCGCAGGGTTGTCCTTCAACAGGTGCAAGCAGCTTGTAGCCCTACTGGCCCGTCTATCGTCCCCCCCCCCTCCCCACAGAGCCGCGGCCGGTCTCTCCGCAGTTCCGTGGCCACCACTGACCAAGTTCTTTCTGCAGTACTCCTGGACGGCGGCGGGTCCGGCCAGCTCGGCCACGGCCTTCAGTCGCCGTCGCAGCTCGTCAGCCTCGGACTGCACCAGCGCCAGCCGCTTCTGCAGGATCATCATCTGCTTCTTGTTCTCCAGGTCGCGGCCGGATGTGTCCAGGAACTGGCGGTAGGCCAGGTCGAACGCCTGCCCGATGGTCAACGTGATCTCCTCCGCCTGAGGGCACGCGGGCATCACAGAGGTCAGACCGGCGGCCGGCGGCCACGCCCCGGGGTCCGCGTACCATCGGATTCTCGAGATACGGCTTCAAACCGCGTCCATCGGCTGGGAGTCAGGTCAGATCGCGTTGCGTATGACATAATTAACAAGCAAACGACGGGGCACATATGCTAACCATCACATCCATGCTCGTGGCCGTTTCGTGCACGAGGCCAGCGAGGCTGACTTGCCGCGCGTCTGCCGCAGCTCAGGCTGGCTGCCCCCGCAACGTCCGGTCAGCAAGGAAATCTACAAGTCAGCCAGTTGCAATATGGCTACCCGGCCGACAGCGCGCATTGTGAAACAGCCGGCCGGAAAAACAAACGTAACAAACGCGGACGTTGTGGGGCCGATGTACACCCCATTCGACGCCCGCGTGACAAACAATACTTGTGTTCTGTCCGCAGGGCGATAACATCACCATATCTAAAGAGATGTGGTGTACCACCGCAACGCTCATTTGTCCACTTCACCATTCGCCCTCCCACGTGACCGTGGAATGGAGAGGGGGTGGGGAGGGGGCACCCAGCCGAACAATGAAGGGGACTGAATTCAACCAGAGGACGTCCGCATGCGTGTGACGGCCGTTTCAGTGTCAGCCAGCAGTGGGACCACATACACAGAGATGCGAGGCTACTGCAGTGTAAACTAAACGGCGATGAAACACGACTCAGCCGACTGCTCGGCTGTAGCCCGTGGCAGGACTAAGACAACTCTCCGGTCCGTGTGTGGCGGGCCTGTGACAGAACTGAAACAACTCTCCGGTCCGTGCGTGGCGGGCCTGTGACAGAACTGAAACAACTCTCGGTCCGTGTGTGGCAGGCCTGTGACAAAACTGAAACAACTCAAAACGCTGGACCGTTTTTGACGCCGATTTCGCCGCGGTACCGCACGCCGACACTGCCGACTTTCAGATCCTGATCTGCGCGCCGGCCCATGCGCAGTGCGCGGCGCCGGAGAGTCGGCGCGCACCTATTAGCCGTATGCAAATACCAACCTCTCCAGGCGGGCATATTCACTGGTCACGAAATCAGCCGTAGGTTTTTGCCAGGTACGCCGCTCAAAAGCCGCCGAACGCAAAAAGGCAGATACACTGGCGTATCTGACGAAGACAGATATGTGATCGCGGGGAATTTTTGCACGACCTGCCGAGGAACAGCCGACCGAGAACCGCGTGACCTTGGCGCCCAGTCATGGTGTGAATGCGTCAACCGAAGGTGTGCAGATGGATGTTTGCGAACAAATGAGCCATCGTACGACCCCATAAAACATATGACTCCATGACCCCATACAGGACCCCATATGAAGCCCATAGCTAACTGGCCGAGAAGTAGCAACTATCTGTTGTTCTCTGCCCAACAGGCCGAGAACAATGCAGCGTCAAAGGTCTGTCGTTGCTCCCCTTTACGATGCGTAAATCCAGGCGCGTTACGTGACGCACCGCCCGAAACGGCAGCGTTCAACATTTGACCATTGGGTACAGTCTCCGCGTCTGTGGACGACGCGAGTCTTGACCTCTGGCCACATGCCGACAGACCGCTGGACGGACAGGTCAACACGCGTGTCTGTCACTGGAGCAGGCGATACCAACATGAACGACCGGACGCTCGGACACGTGGCGGCCATCGGCACGTGTCAACCATTGACCGTGATCGTCCACCGCGTGAGGCAGGTCAGAGTCGCCCGAGTCGGGCCAGAGCGATCGGCCCGTCGGGAGACTGGCGCTCAGTTCCAGTCAAGGCCGGGTGTCCCGGTCTCCGAGTCCGATGGCCATCTTCCGGTGACGTCGTGAACAGTCAGTCACGCGCCATGGCTGCCGAGGCCAGCCGAACCCCACCCACATTTTCCCGTTGCCGGCCCCGCAGCTGCTGCTCGGCCTAACTGCAGCTCGGTGGTGACACTCGGTCGGGGACTGCCCACAGTTCGTCCGGCCCCAGGCCGCTCCCAGAGTAGGTCCGGTGCGCTGCAGAGCCACAGCAGTCCCACAAAGGCGGCACCGGCCGGCCGGGCGTCGCTCGCTGTGGGGCGCCGCGGCCGGCCTGGCTGGGCGTGTCGCGAGGCTGGGGCGGCAGCCTTTCACCACGGCCGGAAAACCTGGCGCTGGCCGTTGGCGACCGTGTCCAGCGGCATGTTGTCCAGCCGAGCTCTGAACACGGACCGCCGCTGTTCGGCCGAGTTCTGAACACGGACCGCCGCTGTTCGGCTGAGTTCTGAACATGGACCGCTGATGTTCGGCCGAGCTCTGAGCACGGACCACTGCTGTCCGGCCGAGTTCTGAACACGGACCGCCGCTGTTCGGCCGAGCTCTGAACACGAACCGCCGCTGTTCGGCCGAGCTCTGAACACGGACCGCCGCTGTCCGGCCGAGCTCTGAACACGGACCGCTGACGTTCGGCCGAGCTCTGAACACGGACCGCCGCTGTTCGGCTGAGTTCTGAACACAGACCGCTGCTGTCCGGCCGAGCTCTGAACACGGACGCCGCTGTTCGGCCGAGCTCTGAACACGGACCGCTGATGTTCGGCCGAGCTCTGAACACAGACCGCTGCTGTCCGGTCGACCTCTGAGAACAGCCCGCTGCTGTCCGTCCGACCTCTGAACACAGACCGCTGCTGCCACTCTTCCTCCGGCGATCGGCGCCTGAGGTAACTCTGCAGTCAGCCCTGGCTGCACAACGACCGCATCATCCTCCGGAGACTTGATGCGTAAAAAACCACCTTTCTCGGAAACATTTGGAACTTCTGTGTACCGCCTCTTGCGCTGCTCTCTAGAGTGTTGTCCAGGTAATCTGACTTTCCCTCCTTGCATCACCCCGTGACCTCTTTTCAACCGCTTCCTAACCTCTCCAGGTTCGTCATCACCAGTCTAAGTCCCGCTTATGCTGGCTCGCTGGTGCTGGCCCGCCGGTGTTGGTGTTGGACAGCTGGTGCTTGTGATGATCTACTGGTACTGGCGTTGGTACCCAACTTGTGTCTTCTGGTTCCCCTTTTGACCCTGTTGTTTTGCTGGCTGCGCCGTTGGCGTCGCGCTGCCGGCGCTGCTCCGAGAGCGCGGCTAATATTACAGCGCCCACCGCTGCACGCAACAGACACCATTACGACGCACTTTCACAGCCGCGCGGCGGAGCTGCCGGTGGGCGCGCGCGTGCCGCGGAATTCCTGCGGCGCCAGCTGACCTTGGAGGACAGGGCGCCGCTGCGTAGGCCGGCAGGAGGGAGGACACGTGGACCGGACGTGGCCGACTGCCGCCTCGCCTTGGCTGCTCACACTGCCGGCCCGGCCCGACGTCGGCCCTTCCGATCGCACCGAATCGAATCTGAGCTGTGTTTGGGCGCCGCTGGTTACATGCATTCTTCAGCGGAAAGTGGACACTGTGAGGTCTCGCGAATCTCGCCTTTTCCGGAGGCGCGTAGACCATTCAGCGGGGCACTAAAACCAGTCCAAGACATCATAATCCGCACACCACGTGGTATCGACTCGATATGTCGTTACGCGCTAACAACCGACAAGTGGAAAACGCCGCGGGCCAAAATCCAGCAGCCCGCAAACGCGATGCCGATGTCCCTGCGGATCGCTGTGGTACAAGGACGAAGTGTTCAAAAGACGACCAGTGGCAGGACCATAAGTTCATGCAAATATGGACCACCTGGAAGAAAATGCACTCGGCCTAATCATAACCTCTTGCCAGTTGGCAGAGTCCAGGCTCAAATCCGATGCATGCTAGTTGTCACATTCCCAGGATCAGCTGCAAATGCTCACGATATCCGCTGTAGTCTAGAACCCACGAACCGCACAAAATATTCCACACAGTCTCACCAATTTATCGCTGACAAAGACGAAGCAGGAGTGCACTTCCTTATCGGCTTCCTTGGCGATGAAGCTGAAGAATTTCTTCTCACCCTTGTCATCAGCGCAATATGATATCCTGTGCAGTGGATACTGATACAGGATCTCCTGCAACGTGACATGATTGTGATGTCTGGGGTTCTACCATCAAAGCCCGACCCGAGTCCAACGCGTAAAGCGAATGCTTTCCAAACGTTGAAATCGTAACGTAAGATAAGAATGAAACGGGTAGTTTTGAGTGTCACACCATCACACAGTTGGTGGTGTTGGAAACTTTGAATGTGATGACATGATTTTCCCATGCAAAGCCCTAAAACGCGCAGCTAAATTTGTCGCCACTCACCTTCGACTTGGGCTCCTGTATTGCAACACCATTGATGGATATCGTGAGCTCTCGCTTGGGAAGCTTCGAACACTCTGACTTCTTGATCTCCTGCCCAAACTGCAGCTTGCGGATCCCTTCCTTGACCACCTCTATGCCCTTCGGCTGGTCCACTTCCGTCCTCCCAAGAAACTGAAACAGGCGCGTGAACATGACCATGACGAGACGGAGCAATTGCGGAGAACCAGCGTTACGCGTCGCCGCAGAAGCCACGGGTGATAAAGCCGATAACATTTGATAGCGTGAAACATTGTGAACGTTATCTGCCATACAGAGTGCCTCAACGATGGAAAAACGAGTAAATCACGAAGAACAGGAGCGGAAGGAATATTGACCCACTCCTTTACACATCTGCGTCCCCTCAGCCCGCTGGGCAGAGTCGGAGGTACCCGTCTCCGTCCAATGGCTGGCCAGGTGCTGCGTGGTGATGACGTCACCGCGGTGATGCCCAGCTCTCCTGCATCACGGTACGGGGCCGGCCGACAGTGAAAGTTCACCCGAAAAACTGTCGCCCGACACGGCACGCATGGGACGAGGTTGGGGGGGGGGGGGGCGACGGTCGGCCCCAGTCCATAGACAGGTGCGGGGGGGGGGGGGCATCAGCCCGTACGCCGATGCTGTGACGGGCTGGCGAGAACCGAGCATGGCCTAGTGCTGCGACAGTCAACATACGGCCCGAGGCGTGCCGGCTCTCCAAGCGTTGGCCGTGGTGCAAGGGTCAAATGGAGTGTTTCGCTTCTCGCCCTCCTCCAGTTTCGCCTCTTGCGTAACCCGTTTCATTTTTGTCTTAAGACTGATGGTTGCGAGACTTCGGCATGTACCGAAGGCACACTGATGCGGAGTCTGCTAGCACCAGCGCCAATTGATTCGGCAATCCTCGTCACCCAGCCGGAACCTTCGCCGACGTCGGCTCCATGTCTGAGCGTCCGTTTTAGCCACTCCTGATGACCAGCAGGGACCCCTCCCCCTCCCTCTCTCAACGAGACCCTGTACGGGTATCGCCCGACATTCCAGCATCCGGGATCAGCGTGGGCCTCCCGGGCGCCGACTTCCGAGTACGGGTCACGGCTTGAGTCCGAGGCACCGACATCCACCGACCCAAACAGACCGCGCCGCCACGTCACCGCCAGGACGCCCCCGGGCCGCCGGGTTCAACCCGTCCGGCCGCGGCCGACGGCGCCAGGCACGAACCCAAACAACGCGCCACGCGCGCGCGCCGGTGGCGCAACAGGCCCTGCCGGACATCTGCGCCGGTTACGTCGCCGCTCGGAGGCCCTGGACGGGCGCGCGGCACGCGGTCGCGGTGAAAGGCAGCGGCACGCACTAGCGCGCGCGCCATGCGGGCAGCGCTGGCCGCGCGTCCTCTCACGCGTCACGCACGCGGTCAGGCCTGGGTCTCAAGTTCCCTCCCCACTGCTGACGCTCGACGCCTGCAGACACCCGGCCTCGCTGACTGACAGCTCTGTTCAGACGGATGGTGTCAACAGCAGACTGTTCAGACGGATGGTGTCAATAGCAGACCGTTCAGACGGATGGTGTCAATAGCAGACTGTTCAGACGGATGGTGTCAATGCCAGACTGTTTCAGGTAGGGGACAAGGCACGAATGTGTGCAACAAAGAAGGGTCTTTGTAGATTTCTTTGCGTTTATCTCACTCAATGGGGGCGTGAACCTCGCTGCGTTCTAGGAAATGTTTATCTTGCTGAATGGTGCATTCGCCTTTACTGCACACTGTCACTCGTTTATTTCACCCGAATGAGACCGTCACGATACTTCCAGGGTCACAGTTTTGATACCGCTCTTTAACTGCGTCGCTGTACGGCATGTGACGCCACTGAGAGGTCTGTGACCCACTGAGCGGTCTGGCACGCCATGCACCACACTTCTAATGACGCTGTAAAATGGTGTACGACCTGAGAGATCAAGCCTCTCATTTTCCTCCAGCGGGGGGATGGGGCCGCGTGTATCCCACCGATGAAATACGCGGCCTCATCAGCGAGCAGCCTTACACGCATCACAGTAAAGCCCGCAGGGGTCGCTGTTGAAGGAATCTCAGGAAAGAATAAGAGCATTGGCAGGGACCGACACCAAATTGTTCATTTTATGTCAAATGTATTGGAGTAACAGCAAATGAATACAATATTGATATCAGGGTATCCTTATATATCCCAATAAGACCGCGTGTAGCCAGAGCTACTCTATGAGCTAAATATAAATATACAGGAGTGTACGTGTGATAGTTTGCTCTTGGTTGAGTGACTGCGCACACAGAAGATTTGTTCTGAACCAAATATGTCCAAAGTCGCCGCATCCATATCTGATTCACAGTTTCACGTATTTCGTTCTGACACGAGTCCTCTGTTTATGCTTCAATGACAGTCCCGCCGTTGACACCACTACTTCTTTGTAACGCTTTGTAAGGTAGATTACAGAGTGGCAACATCTCAGCTGTTGTTCGAGCTTTCTGGTGTTTAAAAACTGCCTATAGAAACAGTTACTTTCCACTCATTCCAGGACAAATGTAATTAGGAAACTCATCTGACAGGTCCTGTACTCCTTTACGAATAAATATGAACGCCCTTTCCCACGAGGAAGTACGTTATTTGCCTAAACTCGCAAAACAAGCCTGAAACTGTGAGGACTAGCCAACGCATAACTCATGGCTATTATTGATTGTCATACCATACCACACAGAGTCAACCGCAAGGAGCAAATCGGCATGAGCTCGCCCAACAGCCAAAACAGGAGCGCGATGCGGAAGACGATTGGCCGGTGCCAACAGCACGAATGCCCGGCCAACAGCACCAAAATTCAACATAACACCATGGTGTTGCATGGAGCGAGCGCCATAAAAAAATATATCCGTCCCCAGTAATACAGGGGTGGCAGGGCTGCGGACGGTGCGCGTGACGTGGCCGCCGTTTGCCTCTGGGGTCAGCTGCGCAGCGGCGACACGACGCCGCCGCATCGTCCGCCATCGTCCGCCATCGTCCGCCAGCACTTGGCTGGATAGCGCTCTGAGTGACCATCCCGCCGTCTCCGGCGACATTTTCTCAAGCCGCAAGTTACATTATGTAGTCTGCCGCACACTAGCCAGAGACGGTGGCTGTGGTCCAGCGTGTCCGGCCTCCAGCGGCCTGTTGGCGCAGGACTGTGGCCCAGCGCGTCCGGCCTCCAGCGGCCTGTTGGCGCAGGACTGTGGCCCAGCGTGTCCGGCCTCCAGCGGCCTGTTGGCGCAGGACTCGCGCTTGCAGAGCTCAATCCCTATACACTTATAGCGGCTTATGTAAATGTTCGGGTAGAGCTGCGTGTTCCCCTTGCTTTTGTAGGCGTTTTCGTATGCATCGCCTTTTACCAGGTTGTTTACGACACACGCTACGGTTCTTTTATATCTATGGTTCACAACACATCGGGCGTTACGTCATCAGCACTTGGAGCTCTCAGACACCCAAACCATCACATTACCCCGTGGCTCACCTTGACCAGGTAGGCGATATGACCCGTTTTCATGGCGTCTGCCGGGTGAATCCATGGCGGTTTGGTGTTGCCGTCTGCAAGAGAGAATGGCCGGTGTTAGAGGGGCTGACACCGGCGGCGGGAGACGGCCGGAGATGGTTGGAGATGGCGGGAGACTGCCGGAGATGGCCGGAGATGGCCGGAGATGGCGGGAGACTGCCGGAGATGGCTCCATCCGGGCTCAGCGGCGGTGTATGCGGGGCACCAGGCACCGGCCGCGGGCGCGTGGTAGGGGGATGCGGGGGGATGCAGGGGGATGTAGGGGGATGGAGGGTGTGGGGCACAGGTCATGCAACGATTTAGGTCCGGTCCGGGACTACGGTGCTGCATGGAAACCCGCCTCATCAAATAATTTGCAAGGATAACTGTGCAAAAATTGTGTCTCTGTCTCTGAAAATGCATGAAGCTGCAACCATTGAATCGAAAGGTATTGGATTAGTATTACTAATCCATCCTAAGCGTTCCCGGTTATGCCAGACCTCCCCAGTTGGCGAGCACCAGCCTGGCCTGCGGTCCGGTTCGCACCTAGCTCGACAGCCAGTAGGTCCATCCCACCTATCGGCGCTGCGAAAATCGGGTTCATGGAGCGGGTTTAGTAAGCTATCTTCAAAAGCTTTATAAATATCCTTTTGTCTACACGGCCATCGGTGGCTCGCTTTACGATAATGCAAGAATAGAAAGGCCAGTAGCCAGTGTACTATGACAGCATGCGTATGATGCAAGGTGTGCGTGTGCGCAATCCGTTCCTGCTAAGATTTTTCAACGTCAGCGACCCTGAAAACCCAGAAGACCCTGAAGGCCCTGGTGAGAAGTTCTGAAAACAAATCCACATTCCGAAACATAGACTGTTCTTTCCCGGTCAGCGAAGCTGTTTTTGGCGTTTGGAATCAGCTGAGAAGATGTCCTGGCTGACCTCTGGAGCCGCCGTTGGCTCCGTGCGGCCGCGGGTCACGCCGTGCCGGGCGCGGCGCTGCCGGGTGTGACGCCTGGCGGGCGCGTGAGGCGTGACAGGCCGGCGCGGCGTGACGGCGCGGCCGCTCTGGCGACGCTGACGCCGCATGAAGTCAGAGGTCGGGACCCGCCCGGTCGCCAGACTACTTCCCGTCCAAGGGAAACCCACGCTCTCTAACGTGGCGGGGATCAACCCACGCTCTGGAACGTCTCGCCGGCCGTGACGTCATCACAGCTCCATGAAAGTTGGGCACTTGGGGTCATGACACATGCAAGACCACATGTATCCACTACAACCGTCGTGCTCCGGATACAGGATCGTATTTCTCTGACCTATAGTTGGAGGTACATTGACGGTACATTTACGTTCTGGCCGTCCGAAGAAGGAGGTCTCTGAACAACGGCTTCGCACCGGGTTCATGACCTCCTGTTTTGGGCCTCCTGATCAGTCACGGCGGGCAGCATATTTAGACCACTGGGCAGCCCCGAATACGCGCTCAGTGTTGGCGCGACCCACTTGTTTAAGGCAATGTTTTACTTTTACGCACAAACGCGCGCGTACACACAAAACTACCGCAGTGGAACAAAAAGGTACCCTGGCTATGATGTACTCCTGGCCCCTGCATATTTAAGTGAGGAGCTGTTCCTGTTTTCAGCAGTGGCCTTCGCACGGGAGGATGTGCGCTAGAGAAAGAATCGTGGCCAAACACTTGAAAGGCGTCCCTCTGATGACCACCGATATTTACCTTCATTTGTGTGCTGGGGATGTTTCAAAACCCAGCATAGCTTGCATTTTACCAGCCTCGTCAAATCTCTCCCGTCTCATGCCTTGAGCAACGGTAGCAGATGAAGACAGTGCCAGGTGCAGGGACCAGGACTAGGACCAGGACCAGGATCAGGACAAGGAAGCGAGTCAGGGCTGGGCGTGGATGGGGACGCGAGGCTTGCAGGAGCCGGCGGACGGCCGGGACATCCTGGACTCCAGCTTCAGCCGGGGCTCCGGACTTCAGTATCAACCGGATACTCCAGCATCAGCCGGGACTCCAACGTCAGCCGGGACCCCAGCATCAGCCGGGACTCCAGCGTCTGGTGGATCTCCAGTATCAGCCGGGATTCCCAGTATCAGCCGGGATTCCAGAGTCAGTCAGGATTCCAGCATCAGTCGGGACTCCAGCATCAGTCGGGACTCAAGCATCAGTCGGGACTCCAGCATCAGTCGGGACTCCAGCATCAGTCGGGACTCCAGCGTCAGCCGGGACTCCAGCGTCAGCCGGGTCTCTGGCCGGGCGCCGGCGGACGGCCCTGGCGCCGCACCCTGTGCGTGGCTACCGCCGACTGGCCTTCGGCAGAGATTGTCTCACGATAGTCCACAGTCGCCGTTTGGACATGGTCATAGATAAGTTGGGACAAGGTACCAGCTAAGCCGATACCTTTGTCACTGTGTGGTACCGCTAGCGCAGCGACGTAGCTTTTCGGCAACGGATACTGATCACTGGGCATTGTTGCTTGGCTACCGCCGGACTAAACACAGGAAGTGTTTGCGAGCAAGTGGTGTACGCCTAGATCTATCGGTTGCAAAGACGTCACGGACGCAGTGCAATCAACCGGTTGAATTAATTCACTTGATTTCTGCAGTCTTGCCTCAAACACGAGTGCACTGGCAACCGACCAGAGCGTCCTCGCGTCAAAAGGCTCTTGGCACCCTCTGTCCACTGCTCTCCTCGACGAAGTCGTAAGATGGAGGCTCAACCAAGACGTCAGAGTAATTCTTGAAACACGATCGACCGTGGAAGCAGTACAGCACCTCCATACGGCGCGACATTGCGATATCCGTAACGGAGCGAGCTTGACGCTTGACATGCATTCCACTTCAAAGAGTGTGATCCATTTAATTCCAAACGTGACGACATACCCAGCTCCCTGCAGCACACACGGCGCCAGCTCGCCGATGGCGTTCGGTGACGGTCGTTAGCATTCGGTGGCGTTCGGTAGCGTTCGGTGGCGTTTGGAAGCGTTCGGTGGCGTTCGGTAGCGTTCGGAAGCGTTCGTTAGCGTTCGTTAGCGTTCGGTGGCGTTCGGCAGCGTTCGGTGGCTTTCGTTAGCGTTCGTTAGCGTTCGGTGGCTTTCAGTGGCCTGGTGGCAGCGTAGTACACCGCAGCGACCTCACAATATGTCCACATGTTCACACACATGTCCACATGTCACATGTCCCACAATAGAGTGTGCTCCCAGCCCGACCACTCCGTACGGACTCTTGTGTCGGTAACTGACCACCCCGGCCGGCAGTATGCCCCTCCAAACCAGCCCACTGTCGGTCGGTGACTGACCGCCATGGCCCATTGTCGGCAGGTTCAGACCGACCCGTTGTCTACAGGTAGCTGACAATCGTGGTCCGCTGTCGGTCGGCAACTAACCACCACGGCCCGTTGTCGGCCGGTACAGAGCGGTGCCGGACAGACGGGCCTCGGGCGGCGCGGCGCGCTCAGCCGGCGCCTGTCGCCCCCGGCCATAATCAGGTGACGAGCCGGCCGCGGCGACCGGTACACATGTGCGCGCGCGGCGGCCGTGACGCTCGGCCCCGGCGTTACGCGGCCGGCCCCGTTCCGCAGCTGTCGCGCGCTCGAGGGAGCCACCAGTAGAGGCGCTCGCCTGAGCCGACGCCTGCCGAGAGACACCGCTCGGAGCGTCAGCCCGCGCTCGTCCTCCGTCGAGGGGGACGAGCGTGAGCGACCGTCGAGAGGAGTCCCGAGCATACTGACCGACGGCGGAATGATGATCGGATGTCCACCGCCCACGACCGTCAGCGGCAGGCCTGATGATGTCTTCGAAGCTACCTTCGGCCGGCACTGACGAGACGAAGAGGTGGCTCTGACTCTGGTATATACACCCGGCGGTGCACAACTACTCTGTCCTTTATACCGTCTGGCGCCCAACTACCCTGGCCTTTACACCCGTCTGGCACACAACGACCCTGGTCTTCACACCATCGCCCGAGGCACAACGAATTCCCTTCTACTGGTATCAGCCGTTAATCTCGTCGCGGAAGCGCAGCGAAGGTACCCACCTCAAGCTGGTGACCCCTCGTAAAAGGAAAACGGCCATAATTAACACGATGCTGAGTGAGTGAGCGCATGTCCCTTGAAAGAACGCTAAAATTAAGCTAAAAACTGTGAGACGCATGAGTGATGATACCAGAACCAACAGCATAATGAGTGGCTTTGTTGACGATAGACATGACCATGAAAAAGCACCACGTTCGTCTGGACTAACATTCTCCAGAACAGGGACGCTGTTCTTTCACCGCGAGTCAAGGCTGTCTAGGAACCTCTCTCGTCTTTCTCTCTCTCCCTCTCCCTCTCTCCCTTTCTCTGTGCCATGCTCTCAGGCCGCAGCACGGTGTTAAAACGAGACCGGTAAAGCGGAGTGCAAAACGGTGCCGAGCATGACGGTAGCTCTAGGAAGCAGCCATCCCCGCGCCACGGCACACGGCCCGAGATGCACCAGTCGCGATCCGCCAGTGGCGTCAGCCGTGCCGCGGCGGCCGCCCGGCCAGCGGCGCAGGATTGGCCAGGTGAACGTGACCACCGGCCGGCACCGCTCCGGCGAGCTGGCGCCAGAGGATCGCCCTGTGGCCGGCTGCCAGCACCGAGCAAGGCCCGCCCACGGCCACGGCGGGCACGCGAAGCGAGCCTCATGGGCCCGGGCACGAATCGAGCCCCACGCCCATAGTGAGCCTCATGGGCCACAGCATGGATCGAGCCCCACCCACCTGGAGCGCGTCCAATGGGGGCAACACAAAAACAACTCAATGCGTGGAGAGTGAACATTTTAGGCTGGGACACATTTTACACGCCAGCCTAACGGACGGCGACACATTGTCAACAGTCCGCGGTGACAATGGACACCTGCTCGCCACGAGGGGCAGTGGCGGAGTGACTGGTCAAAGGTTGGAGTGCAGACAAGGACTGAGAACAACTGGCTTCGGCGGGCGGCGTTGGGATGCTGTGGATTTAGACGGCTCTGCTCCCTGACGAGAACGCCACACCAAAAGCAGCTGCTGAGACGGAGCGGTCTCTGAAGCCCTGCGCAGCGGCCGGAGCTGGCCTCCCTCCAGTTCAGCGGGGACACTATCTGAGCGGGATCGTGGAATGTGTGGGGCGTCTGGCTCCAGCTGCGTCACGGTGGCTTAGAAAATCCCAAAGACGTGTTAAGTGGTCGCTGCGATGTAACCAAGTGCCGCCACTAGAACAGGGGGTAGTTCTATACAGAAAGTGGACCAGTTATACGGGCACTGGATGAGTCAGACGAGACCTGCGTGACCTTGGCACACAACATGGGAGCCGGAGAGACGAGCATCACGGCATCCGGGGATAGACACAGGGCAACCACAGACATAGCCAAACCAGACATATAAGGCTGGAGACGGGAGGGCAGATGCTCAAAGACAAAGGCGATTTTACACGGATTGCAAGCATTCCAGAACGCAGCGACTGAACAATTAACAGACATCTGAAGTGGGGAAACGATATTCCTGCAATGGATACGCTCTCGCAGTTTGAAGGCTGTAATCCTAGTCGAGGTAAGCTCGGGTGATAGGTGGCGTCCCTAAATGGTTGCATGCTTACCCCGCAAGCCGACTGTCAACCTTACTAGAGTCTAGCGAGGAACGATGTGCGATGACCTTCCTGAATGGTCACGTACCCCTTCGCCACAAACTACCCGCACCAAATCCTGCGGCAGCCCACAACGGCTCTCTATCCCGCAGTGCAGTTGGCCCTCCAGTGTTACAAGGGCATGCGTCCTTCAGTGCGGGCCGTCCGCAACCTTGGCGCCTTTGTTTTGGGTCAGGGGAAGTTGCTCAAGGCTGCACACGCGACGCGACGCGGCCCGGACCCGGGCCCGGGAGCCCAGCTGTCCTCGCTAGTTCGTGACTAGGGCGGGGTGGCATCGGACACGGGATGGGCTGGGACCGGGAGCCCAGCTGTCCTCGTCAGCCAGTGACTGGGGCGGTGGCGCCGGGACCGGGAGCCCAGCTGTCCTTGCTGACTCGTGACTAGGGCGGGGTGGCATCGGACACGGGATGGGCCGGGCCCCGGAGAACGCTCCGGGCGACCGGAGAACGCTCCGGGCGACACTCACTCTGGTTGTTGCGCTGTAGCAGTTTGTTGTTTTGCGTCCATCGCAAGATGGCCGAGTTCCTCATGGTGGCGGTTGGTGGTGGCCGGAGGCGCTCTAACCCACTCTCTTCCCCTCTCTCTCTCCCTCACTCTCTGTCTCTCTTTTCTCTTCAGGTCACGGCTGAGACGGTGGTGAGCTGGCGGCGGCGAACACCGCTTCACATTCTCTGACGTGGCCACCTGGAATGAGCAGACGGGATGCCGTCAAACACACCGGTGTTCGGGTGCTCGTCAGCGGCGTCGGCAAGGCCGCCAAAGTATACAACGTCGTGCATAAAGCTTGTATAAAAATGCTGCTGGCCCATGCAACATAACTGCGTTGAGCTTTTATGGACAGCAATACGTAAGAACCGACGACCCACCAACCACCCTAGCAGGATGGGCTGCCAAGACAGGCCAAGCCGTGAGGAACTTGTTGGAAATTAGGCTTGAGGGTACTAGAATATTCAACACGGAGACTTCGGTTCAACATCCGCTTCATACTCCCACTGATGAGCGGTGGCGTTTTCAAGAAGATCACGTAAGTCAGGCCTGACCTTTGTAACGGTCTCATCTGTATGCTCCTTCCACAAGGTCAAACAGAGACGCTTGGGAACATCCGCGCCGTGACTGTGTGTAAACAGTACCAAGCGCCGGCCGGCACCAGCGTGGTGTCATCTGGTGCCCCCTCCCCTCCTCAACAGAGGCGGCCGCCCGGGTCACTGCCCCCCCCCCCCCCCCGCCCCCGCGCCGCTACGCGATGTCACCAGTGCACAGCGGGGCTAAAATCTGGCCCAGCTGCGTCTCCTGTTCACGTTTGTTGGCGGTGTTTTGAGATGGGGTGTGAGAGGAGGAGGCGATTCATGTCTAAGCTCATACACCCGTGTCGTTCTTAATAGTCCGACTGACCGCAGCTCTTTTGGTGGCGAACATAAAGAGAACGAATTTATTTGGCTGACAACACTCAACGACATGGAATGACATGCGAACCTACGAGTGATGATTGAGCCGAAAGACTTGCATTGGAGTTTGTGATGCACTGGACATATGAATACATGAATATATATATATATATATATATATATATATATATATATATCGTGGTGCTTTCAGTAGAATGATACCCCCAACCTGTAGACAGACAGCAAAATAAGCCGCGAACGATTCTTCTCTCTTGACATACAACGGAAAACAGAAGGGAAATGCCACAGTTATGTTCAAAACACAGTAAAATATTGTAAAACCTGCTTCAGACATTTCACACCAGGCTTGACATATTCAAAAGTCGACTCCAAAGCATCTCTGGTAAGAGCCTCTTGGACGCGCAGTAAATCGCCTGGCAAGAATGTGAGGAGTGCCACATGGGATCTTAGAAGTGAAAAACTTCCTTAAAAGATTCATTAGTACGCGGGGCATGTGTATACAAGTCACTTCAGAGCCTTGATGTTACATTCCTCGTTGCTATGTCGTATCTATGTCCTTTCCTCGAGCGGCATTCCGTTCGTTGCTCGAGTGGTAGCACGACCGGAGTCAACCTGATGTATGATATATTGCGCGCATTACTCACCCAACAGTATGCGATGGGCTAATCAATTGAAATGAAACCGAAGCAAGCTTCCATAGAATGTCTATAATAGCGAGGAAGTATCTAAATATGGCATTTCAGACATTGCAGTAACTTGGCCTCGATATGCCAGCGTTCCCGTCACGACTAGTCGAGAGGTCAGTCAACAAAATGTGTCCGCGGGAGGCATGATCCCATTGCCACCTCTGCACTAGGCTGCGGGCCGGACGAACAGGGGAACCTAGGTCAGGAAGGGAGAAACACACCCGATGTTAGCGGGTCAATGTTCTGTGGGATTTGTGAACGTAAAAACCGCCGGCCCGCGCTCTGCAGACTGCGGTAGGCGGTTTTTATCCGCTCCAGGCAGCGCTGCGCCACTGCGGGCGGGCGGCATCCCCGCCGGAGCGAGCCGGCGCCTCACCAGGTGACGCCAAGGTCAAACCTGGCCGGAACATAACAATGGCCGCCGCGCCGACGACTGCGTGTCACGCTCCTCGGCCAGGGCTAGGCTTCAGTGACGTCACTGCAACAGCTCGGCTCGCAGCATTAGACGCTGAAGATAAAAAATAGGCAAAAACTTAGCAGGCTGTCTAAGGATTCATCTACTGACCCTGGTAGAAATGACTATGTGGATAAGACGCTATGTCATTGTCTACAGAGCTGTCGGGCCTGCCGGCCTCGGCCCGGCCGCCGCGGGTTCGGCGCAGCTCGCGTGGGCCGCCGCGGGTTCGGCGCAGCTTCGCGCGGCCGCCGCGGGTTCGGCGCACAAAAGCGCTCGGCAACCGAGCCACCGCCGCCGCCGCCGCCGCCGCCCGTGCGCCGGCCAGGCCGATATAGGGCGCGTTCCAGAAGTGGTCCAGCGGCGGCGCGCTGCCGGCCGTGCAGCGGTCGGTCGCAGCAAGCTAGCCAGCCAGCGAGACGCCAGCGTGACCCGGCCGGCGCCGAGGCTCGGCGGCTAGCTGGGGACAGCAGCCAGCCAGCGAGACGCCAGCGTAACCCGGCCGGCGCCGAGGCTCGGCGGCTAGCCGAGGACAGCAGTCAGCCAGCGAGACGCCAGGCTCGGCGGCTAGCCGAGGACAGCAGCCAGCCAGCGGCGGACTGGGCCGTCCAGCTGCAGAGGCCGTAAGGCTTGGATCGCCGCTGGCGGGAATGCTGAAAACCGGCGGAGTATCGAAGGCTGTGAGCTGGCTCTGGACAGGCCGCGGCTTCCGACGGCGTTTCAGCAGAGGAGGTCCGGCTCGGCGCCGGGGCTGCTGAGGCGGCTCAGCAGCGCGCCCACAGGAACCTGTCCGCTCGCCGCCCCCGCCGGACGCGGCCAAGACGTTCGGGGAAATGGCGCGCCCATCTCCGCGTCGCAGTCCGACCGGTCAGGCCGCTGCTCGGCGCATGCCGACCGGCGACTGGGGAAGCCCGGGTACTCACCTGACTAGCAAAAAGATGAGAAAAGACGCCGAAAAACGAGCGGCGGACCGAGAGAACTTGTTTAATGCGTGCATGCAGGGAAAACAGACACACAATGATGGTAACCGAACGTGAGTCAGCGGAAGGACGAAGAAAGGAATGAGCAGTGATGGAACCCTCTAGACATACTCCATCGAGGGAGGAGCTGATCAAGATTTCACAACGGTTCATAATAAACAAAATGACGTAACATGTCCGTTCAGAACAACGGGGGCAAGCATGTCAGTAGGCATGAATGAGTGTCTTTTCGTATTGGCCGCAAAACGACCGCTGCATTCAAAGTGCTCGCAAACCGAACTACCGAATATATGTATCCATGCACGCGTGTGGATGTATGCGTATATGAAAACGTGTAAGCAAATATGAATGCGCATGCAAGTTTTGAAAGATGTGTGCGCGTATGCATGTGTTTGTGTGTATGTGTGTGCATCTGCAAACGTAAACTTCTCACAGACGGCCTTCCACGTCGGTGCGCGCGTTTTTAAGTCGATCTCGTTATAGAAGTGTGTCACCGGTCCGTGTAGAAGTGTGTCACCGGTCCGTGTTTACCGGTCATCCGTGCTAACAGGCGCAGGATAGATCATATTGTCAGAATTGCGAGCAAACAACTGGCTTTGTGTCTTCACTCTGGTCGCTGCTCGGGAACGACTTGAGAACTCTAAGCGGCGTACGAAGTGTTAATGGAATAGCATTCCGCGCGTATATCGCCCTGTATGAAACTGCTATCGCTTAGTATTCCCGCCTGCAACGGGACAATTACAGACTAGTCCGAAGCAGCGTGCGATTGTGTGTGTGTGTGAATGCACTCGCTCACAACAGAAGTGCGTGGTGTGGTGAGATGAGGTTTAGAGAGTGAGTGAGTGAGTGAACAGGTATGTGAGTGCGTATTTAGGTGTGAGGTGAGTCAGTGGGTGTGAGTGTGGGAGCGAGTAAGATGTAAGTAAATTATTAAGTGAGTGAATGGATGCGTGGGTGTACAAGCGAATGCGTAAGGGGGTGTACATGTGCGAACGAGTGAGCATGCTTGATTGGGTGCTTACTAGACGATTGAGAGGAAAAAGAAAAATAAGTGAACAAAGCAGCAGGAAAACAAAACAAAAGAACCTCATTGATAATATCAGCAACGCATGAAAGTGGTGAATGTCTTGCCGGACATAAACGAGTGCAATCCAGCGTCAGCCGACAGTCCAGCACGTCCACGGAAGTCATGCAGAGCGAACAAGCCAGCAGGACCAAGACCCTGAGACGGCAGTGCGTCGGGTCCAAACAGTACCGCTCCTCTCCGTCACCAGGACCGGTGGGCCAGAGACGGGGCCGCCTGAGCCGCCCCAGCCGAGACCAGATTACGCCACCTGTTCCCTTCGTCTACCGTCATGCAAAACGTTACCGTTGCCGCTGCACCTAGATCGAGGCGCTGCCACCTCCGCCCCCCCCCCCCCTCCCCCAGCCCACACACTTCTTAGGTTTGTTGTCGTTCTCGTAAGAAGAACACGCGAATCGTAGAAGACTTCGGGTTGCCCTGCCCACGAAATCACATGGGACAGATCACATGTCTTTTGTAGCTGGCCGTTTTGGGCTGTTTTGAAGGCAAGCGCAACGTCATTCCAATTACGGTTTATTACGTTGATGGTTAGTGCTTTTCGTCATCGCTGCTTAATTACATTCACTGGCGTTTCCTCCGTATAAACCGGAATGCTCGTGATGCATCATTTTGGATATATAGAATATTTTGCATATGCAGAATAAATCCACGACGACATGAAGAACGGACTGACGGACAGTGACTCAAAACAACAATGAGTCATCAGATGTCTGCCCAAACCGTTCCAATACTGATTTCACTTATCCGCAGCCCTTGATCTCAGTGTGAACCACAACGCCATAGCAGTACTAACTCCAGTCCCAGCGAACCACAGCTCCAGACCCAGTGAACACACGGCTCCAGACCCAGCAAACACACGGCTCCAGATCCAGTGACCGCCCAGCGACCGTCTCAGTTGCGGTCCCACCGCTCCTAGTCCCACCTGCCCTCTAGCTGTCCCAGCCCGGTCCCACCTGCCGGGGACAGTCCCGCCTGTCCGCCGGCCGGGCAGCCGGTCCGGTCCCACGCGGCCCATTACGACGGCGCGGGACCGTTACGGCCGTCCGGCGGCGCGGGTCGCGTCACACTCGGCGACGCCGTGCCGCGCCATCCGGCGGTCACACCCCGCGTCGGCTGCGCGCGGGCAGCGGCTGCGCTCACGGCTGCCCTGACCCTGGCCCGCTCCTGACCCGGTGTCGCCCGCCTGTGCAGCGTCGCCGGGCTCCGGGGTCGGCCGCTCCTGACCCGAGCAGCAGCCGCCTCCGGGCCGGTTGCTCCTGACCCGAGCAGCAGCCGCCTCCGGGCCGGCCGTTCCTGACCCGGGCAGCAGCCGTCTCCGGGGCGACTGCTCCTGACCCGAGCAGGAGCCACCTCCGGGCCGACCGTTCCTGACCCGAGCAGGAGCCACCTCCGGGCCGGCCGCTCCTGACCCGAGCAGCAGCCGCCTCCGGGCCGGCCACTTCTGGCCCAAGCAGCAGCCGCCTCCGGGCCGAGTCAGAGTACATTTTTGTTGTTTCCGTTAACGTCTCTGCAGCCGATAGGTTTTCCCCAGCGCGAAAATGATGAAATAAAAGCTTGCAATTAGCACCTAAGGTCTATTGACTGTCGCCCGTAGCAGCGCTTCACGGTGCCAATGTCAGACCATTTCTATTTGAGACGATAAACCCCGGGTGCATTGCAATTGCAGGACAATGTTGTTTTCAGTAGATGAGGCATCGATGCATGGAAGCCGGTCTTTACCCCCTCCTCGCCCTCCAAAAAAGAAAACGAATGGCTGGATCCACGCTGAGCTGTGCAGCGCTGCCCTCCACAGTCACAGACAGTGTTGGTTTAGTCCTCGTTCCCCTGTCGCTTTGTCCCTGTCCTCGGTAGACGGGTCAGTAGCCTAGCAACATTTTATTGTGGAGAATGTCGGATGAGGCAAAGGGCGACGGTAAAAAGGGCAAGAAGGGCGCAGGACGGAAGCAAAAAGCCAGAATGTTGGTAATGACTGTCGTGATGGGGACGTCAAATGCGGACCAATGGCCCACTTTCAGGCGTTTGTTGCGTGAGCGCTGGCCTCGCCATCCCATGGTGAAATTCCGGGTCAACGGCAACATTTTGCGGCGAAAGCTTAACGTGCCACAGTGCTCGGCACGATCAGTTGCACCCTGTGACGTCACCCGACCGGGACATCTCCAACTTCCTTCCAGTTATTTTTAATCTCTTCAACAGATGCTTAGGAATCTTGGCGGAGGTTTCAGGAAGAGTGGTACGTTTATGATCATAATAAGTGCAATCAGATGTGAGATGATAATGACATGTTTTCATACACAAACATTCGTAGCGAACTTCTTCCAAACAACTTCAGCAATGATTAAGTCTTCGGTGATTATCTAACCCGCCGTATCGAAGGCGTAATCTCCCACATAGGAAGGCTTCAGACAATTTTTGCACCGTTTGCAGAACTTACGCTGCAAAGGAAAGGGACGTTTTCAATATGTCCAAATAACGACCCACATATTTCAAGGAAACTGTACGGTAAACTGGAAATAGTGCGTCACAGTCAAGTGGCCGCTTTCAAGAGTTGTTCGTGCCTTCTGATAAATTTCTGAAGTGTTCGTCTAAAAAGTCGGTTTCACTTTCACAATGAACATCAGTTTCTGCTGCATGGCCCACCCAGGAAGTTGTTAACTACCCTTCACACATTCAAACTGGCCAAGAAAAAACGGTCCAGAAAGCTTCCCAGGCACCAATTTGATTGATACCGATTAGGATCATTAGTTCCCATGCTAAACCAATGAGAGTTCCACACCAGTGCTTTTAAATTGGGATATTATGGGCCCGCAAGACCAGGCAAAGAGAGTAGCTGTATTCATCGAGACCGTGATACGACGTGACCGTCTGTCCGGCTTTAAGGAAGTGCCCAAGGTTCCGCAACAAAGTATGCTTGATCCCATGGGTGTAACCACTGGGAAAGGTTGACGGAGAGCAGGGGCGAATCCAGAGAGGGAGGGGCATGAGGCCATGGCACTCCTTGGGCCTCCATGAAATCTCGGTGCCCCGAAAGGACACCAAGATCTCACTGTGAAGAGGCACCAAACCTGCATTTCAAAACCACATGCCTTTGACTTGCAAGAGGCTCCGGAGTTCCAGAGGCACCGCAAATGACACCAAATCTTCATTTCCGAAAAAACAAATTCTAGGGGAGCCAGCGGTTCCTGCAGTGTCCCTGCCCCTGGCAGAACACTTACAGGCGGTGGTGTGCCACTGGTTCAGCGAGAGGGCTCCTACATGGCCTGGAGAGAGTGACAAGAGTGACAATGACATTTAGACGCGGCAGTCTGCAGCGAAAGCGACCAGTGTGATTCAGTGAAAGGAGGCGGCAATTAGTGGTATTGTAGCTCATTCCAGAGATTCCAACATTTTGTAAAACGAATGAGTTGGGTTATCAGAAGCCTGAGTGGCCACTAAGAAGGTAATGAGGGAAAACTTACGATGAAGACGTTGACACTGCCAAGTAGCAAGATAATTGGGTGAGAACACAAATATTGTTACCCCACCTCGTCTCATGACGTGTCAATTGGTGGGCTCTTTCTTCATGGCGATTAGTTTGGTTTCATGGCGTTGCGCCGGCCGAGTTAAATGGCGGCGGCCACACCGAGGGAAGCGCAGCCGACCGCTATCAGAGCAACGCTTCAGGCGGATCGCTGCGCCAAAAGAAGCCCATTCCAACAAGGACCTGCCAACGGAGCACCTATTGCCGGCTGTACCCGGCTGCTCGGTCTGGTCGCGCCGGGGACCAGACCTTGCCCAGACCAGACCTGGGACCGAGGTTGGGGCAGCCAAGTGATCGAGGTCGTCCCGTCCAGAGTCGCCGTGTGCAGACCCGCCCACGGGTGACCTGAACGCCGCAGCTGGACAATAACCCAGCGACACTGGGTGAACTGGCGGCCCCTTTATACAGCGCCCGCCTTAAAAATATGTCATACTAACCGCGGTGACGGTACGGTTAAGACTCCACGGGGCTCCGTCAAGCTCGTTTTGGGCCCAGTCCCTAACATCATGCGCAGCCTTGTCACCGAGGCACAGCACGAGCTATTCGCACGCAATTTGTCCCATCCGCGTCCCGCATAATATCGCTCTCACGGAAGCGTTCCGCCGCTTACACGACGACAAGCAAGGGAAACCTTTCGCATTGAGAAAAGAAGCATGCGCTTTTTCTTCACTTTGTCATTCACGTGGTGAAGCCTCGTGCTTATCGTGGGTAATCAAGAACTGGTTTCATTACAATGGAGAGGTTTTCTCTCTCATGCGTGAAATCGCTTGCCACGCCTTTTGTCTTATGCCTTAAGTTACATCATGGAGGAACTTCCGCTTAATCGTTCGCAATCCTCGGCCGGTGGCTATGCAGCCCGGCCAGCCGCCATCCACGACGTCTCAGACCTCCCGCCCGTCACCCTCCTGCTCCTTTCATAGTGAAACAGCTCCGCCTTCACACTTAGAGGCTGCTATCACAAAATCAGATATCGTCGCTGACGCCATACCGCTTACACGGATGTCGCCTTGGTTCACCACGAGCTAATTGTACAAAAATACACGGTAGAAAATCGTCCTCAACTTCAATTTTATCTTTGTGTGCATTCTGAAAGTTCCTTTTGATAGAGAGTGATTTTAAACTGAGCGAACAATATGGTGTACAATTCGCTCTAGGACAAGATCATTTCAGTTGAGAGGTTAACAACGATCCTCCCCCCCCCCCCCAGAATAAGAGGAGGCTCGTACGCTATACCCAGGGCATTTAGCATGGTCTGGAGACAAGAATGCGGTTTGGAAAGATGAGTTCGGGCTGTGCACGGGGAAACGACTTAAACCTTTACCACGGGCTCACAAAAGACATGTTTCTTCTCCAACGGAGAGACCTTCACTACACCTTACTCTCTCAGAATGTTTCAACCAACCATTATCCCTCTGAAGTGCTGGTTCAAAAAGTCACACAAAAAGTTGTGAAGGCCTGCTGCCATACTTTTCATCTCGACTAACCCTTCGCCGTGTTCTGCAGCCTAACGACGACATCGACGATTCCACTTCTCGGGAAAATCATTAAAATGTCAGAATGGCAAAAATACCATGCCACGCCATTCTTCTCCACCTCCTCGCTTGATCGTCCGGCGCCCATCGGCCCGAGCCGGACCGTGTGGAGCGTCATCTGAGAAGACCCCTTCGTCTGAGCCGAGCCCCGAGCCGTGTCGAGCCAGCTGCCACAGCGTTTGAGCCCAGTGCCGATGTGCCGGGCGCGTGCCGTGCAGCGCGGCCGCCCGGCGCGGCAGCCGCTGCCAGCCGACCGGGGCAGCTCGGCGCCGCCACAACACGGCGTCGCGGCCGCCGGCGAACCGGTCCGCCGGCCCCGGCGGCTTCCAAACCACCCGCCAGCGGTCCTCAAACCGCGCGGCGGACGGGCCGCGGCGGTCGCGTGACCTCTGGCGACCGGCAGCCAATTGACGGGCGCCGCCTTGTGGCGTGACCTGACCTGACCGCTGACGTCACAGGCGCGCGTCGGGCGTGGGGGCCCTGCCCTTCTCGCAGGTGCCACGCTGTCCCGGAGATCGAAGCGGAAAAGGAGGTCGGTGACTCGTATCTATGGAGAATTTCCACCAGCCCGGCGGGGTGGGCTAGCGGGCAGCAGCAGCCACACTTCAGCGCTTCATCGCTGTGTGCCGGACCACTCGGCGCCAGTGGCCACCGACCCTGCGCGAGCGGTCGGGGCGCCACAGACGGACCGGCAGCTCGGGAGACAGGGCCGGGAGCGCCCGAGCGCTGGGAATGTGAGCGGCCGTGCCTGGCGGCTTGCGAGTCGGCCTGCTTGCGTCACGGCGCTCGGCGCGGGTGGCGCGGCCACGCAGCGGTGGCGACACCTCTGTTGTGACTGCCGGGCGGCACGCCTCTCACGGAAGGGGATAGTGAGTCAGGTTCCGACGACTGGCGCCAGCGCCGAGTTGATGAAGAACCAGACACAATACTGGGAAAGGCTTGGGACGGCGCGTTCATGTCACTGGGTCCTGGGTCCCACCTCTCGCGCCAGGGAAATCTTGTCCCTGTGGTCGTAGCCACGCTCCAGCCCCAGCCACCGCCGGTGGTACGACAGACAGCGCATCAACAGCTCAGGCTGCCGGCCGTCAACATACAGAGCAGACACCGCGCAGACGCCGCCCGCGCACGCTACCGAGGCAGGGCCCCCACCGCTACAGCATTCCGGTTTCGTCCCCCAAGTCCACCTGGCTTGTACCATACTGGCCGCCCGTCCCGCATCGGGCCGGTCACTTCCTTACCTAGAGCGGGCGGGCGTCTCGGCGCTTGGGGCGAGCAGCTGCGGTGCGGTCCACCACCTGACACCAGCAGGCGGGGCGTGCGACTGACTGCTGGCGGCCGGCCGCTTGCCGCTCCGCTCGCCACCAGGGGCGCCGCCAGGCAGGCTGGACCGGCCGGCGGCGGCGCGGCGCGCGCGCTCCGCCGCCGCCGCTGCAGGTGACGCGGCGGGAGGGCTCAGCGGACGAGGGGGAGGCTCGGCCAGTGTGGGGTGGCCGTGGTGAATTGTGTGCTGAAGGGCCCGAACCGAACGTGGACGACCATCGCGCCATGCGCTTGGAAACGCTCCTGAGCGTACCAGGTGAGTTGCTCAAACCCGTTCACCGGCGCGTGCATTTTTTATCCGGGTAAGGTCGAGCCAGGTGAGTCAGTTCAGTTCTGCTCTTTGTCAGCTGTTCCCTGCACTACCACGGACCTGGAACATTAACACCGCAACACAACCTGAACTCACGCACCTGCCGCCTACGGACCGGTACCTGCAAATGCAAGGCTGCTAAGAAGTCTTCAAAAAATATTTGAGGGTGTTATACGTGTGCTGTCGATGAAAGCTGGGAACTAGCCTGAGATGAACATCTGGGTGTCTGTCTGGCCGGATGTCCGGGCAAGATCCGGTGCCCGGCTGCGGCACCACTGACTTACAAATGCTCGATCGAATGTGCTCGGCTGGCGACGACACCATCCGCGCCGTTTCCCTTATCCCGCCGCATGAAGAGACAGACCACCGGAGCCGCGAAACGCGCTTTGCCTAATGCTAGCACATCGAGAGGACGCCGTGGTGTCAACTACAACGGGAACAAAGCCGCGTGAACGACCGAGACGAACGGTGCGCTGCCTGCAGTCGACTGATCGCGGTGGACGGTGCGCTGCGTGCAGTCGACCGATCGCGGTGGATGGTGCGCTGCCTGCAGCCGACCGATCGTGGTGGACGGTGGTGCGCTGCCTGCAGTCGACAGATCGCGGTGGATGGTGCGCTGCCTGCAGCCTACCGATCGCGGTGACTGGTGCGCTGCCTGCAGTCGACCGATCGCGGTGGACGGTGCGCTGCCTGCAGCCTACCGATCGCGGTGACTGGTGAGCTGCCTGCAGTCGACCGATCGTGGTGGACGGAGTGCTGCGTGCACAGTCGACCGATCGCGGTGACTGGTGAGCTGCCTGCAGTCGACCGATTGCGGTGGACGGTGCGCTGCGTGCAGTCAACTGATTGCGGTGGAAGGTGCGCTGCGTGCAGTCGTCGACCGATCGCGGTGGACCGTGCGCTGCGTGCAGTCGACCGATCGTGGTGGACGGTGCGCTGCGTGCAGTCGACCGATCGCGGTGGACGGTGCGCTGCGTGCAGTCAACTGATCGTGGTGGACGGTACGCTGCGTGCAGTCGGCCGATCGTGGTCGACGGTGCGCTGCGTGCAGTCGACCGATCGTGGTGGCGCGGCCGAAAAACGGCGCATAGATGGCCTTGCTAAACCGTTCCCGCCACCAAAATGGCGTTGAACAGCGTCTGGAAAGGCGGCGCATGCGCAGTCTGCCACGGGCGAGCCGCGGCGCTTGACGGATGGGACCCACGACTGCCTAGATGCTTATCGTCCCTCGGTTCCGTCCCGGCAGTGTCCCACCCGCCCCCAAGGGTTTCATCACTTAGCATATCCGGGCGGCCGCAAACCTCGTGACCTTGAGTGATGCTGCTCCCCGGCGCCCGGCGACCTTTAATGCTTTCCTCAGCGTGCCGGGTGGTGCTAATCTGCTGACACCGGTCTCAGAGACAACCGGTCTCAGCGGACCAATGCGCGGCTTGTCCGCCCTTAACACCCAGCACGCAATACCTTTACTTTAGGTTCCACGTGTTTCTAGCAGGAAGGTCACGTAGGCTCATGGCCACTGCGTGCTTTAAATTGTGTCAACGTTTGAATCTGGCTGTGAACTAAACTGACGGCATGAGCAAACGTATCTTACACACCCAGCAAGCAAACTTCTGAATGATGGACTTCCGTGTATCCGTGTCCCGTTGTCTGTCTATCACGTGTGGAACGTCGCTCCCTCGTTGGCACATTTCTGGACGATCGCGTGGCGCCTATGCCTCTGGGTTCTCGCTCCTGCCAATGGCCGGGTCCCCTAGCCGCGCCCCTGTCGCTCACGTCTTCCCGTGTCGTGCCGCCGTCCGTCCCTCCGTCCGTGTCCGGTCTGGCGGGCACGCCGCGTTCGGCAGCGGCCCGCCACGTGACGACGTCGGCCTCCGCCGCCCGTGGCCTCGGGCCGTATCGGGTGTCCGGTCGGCCACGTCCGCCGCCACGGCGCAGCCGGCACGGCCCGGCACGGTCGCCGCCGCCGCTTCCGCTGCCGCCGCCCGCTCGGGGCGGACGCGAACGTAAACGGTGCCGGCCGGCGCACGGCGTCGATTCGCCGAGGACGTCCCCCCGGCGCGTGCCGCGGAGATCAAGGTCACACCGCATTGACCCCGTCCGGAGGGGAGGGGGAGAGGTGAGGTCAACGGCTGACTAGAGGCTGCCATGGCGGGCGGTTGTGCGGATAGAGGCGTCCGGAGGCTGCTGGACTGGGTACAGCTCAGTTGATGTTTTCTGACACTGCGACGCTGCTGAGAACAACATGTTGTGCAATGCGTGGTGCATCGCGGTTTGCGTCATCGTATTGCGTTCCGTTCAAGGCATAAGCTACGAGAGACAAACACGGTTTACGTTTTGGAGACGCTGTTATTATTTATTTGATGCAGCAGATGGTCTTCATAACTCGTGCTTTTACGTTCGCGGAACACACCACGGATATTTATTCTATCAAAACCCAGGCTAGGGCGCAAGTGCATTCATTGCATTCCGCAAACACGCTGCCGTATTGCAAAACATGTGGTAAACATGCATGAATACAAGTATGAAGATTGGAAAGAAAGCAAGGAAGAGGCACATATACAGAGAGAGAGAGGGGAGGGGAGGGAGGAAAAGCGCGACGAAGCGAGAAAGGGGGGGGGGGAGCAAGAGAACAATAGAAGAAGGAAGTAAAAGATCAGAGAAGTAGAGAAAGGAGCAAAGAGAGGGAAGTAAGATAGGAAGAGTGGCAGATGAAGCGCACGCAGCCTGAGATCGGTGTGTGGGCAGACGCAGCCTGAGATCGGCTTCGAAGCAGACACAGCCTGAGCTGGGTGTCAAAGCGGACACAGCCTGATCTCGATGCCGGAGCAGGCGTCTGTGTGATTGGCGCAGGGCTGCATAGGCTGAGTGACGCGATGCAAACAGCTCGCTTCGTATTGCGCCTAACCGCGGCTGCAGCCGCCTGGGCTGGGAGTACGGTGACGCCGCCGGTTGCACGCCTCGGCGAATCTGGGCTGGGAGTACGGTGACGCCGCTGGTAGCACGCCTCGGTCGGCAGCGGCCACCGGGTGTCGATGGCCGGCTGGTGTGTTTTGGCGCCCGTGGGCCGCCAGTCACGCGGACACCTGATCGCGTTTGTTGAGCTCGTGCTGCACACAGCCGCTGCTGTTGGCACTGGCCGCCATGGTAACACAGCCCGCATACTGGTGGCCATTCTAAGCCCATTTTTGCTTGATTAATTGGAGTGAGTAATTGCCCACGTGCTGATATGTACAAGGGACTTGACGAGTTCACGATATTATAAATCATTCGTGACTGAACACCCCGGAACGCACGGATCCATTTGTGCGTTTGCTGATACCCGACGACCCCAGCTGACTGTGTGGAATCGTTTAGGACCGTCATGAGAGGGATTTGTTAAGTAGACACATCAGATGTGCATCACGTACTAGCTTGGGAGAACTTGGCATGGCGGGCAAGGTTG